CCTATACTAACACTCCCACCACCAACACCTATACTAACACTCCCATCACCCTTAACACCGTTCAGTAGTATTTGTGGAATGGTTGCCTTTATCAGTGATAAATCATTTCTAGAAAAATCATTTGTTTATTCTTGAACCTTTCAATAAAAATAAATCTATAAAAGAATCCTATTAGTACAGGATTATAATATTTAAATTTTTCTTTACAATTTAAAGCTAAAACGTATATTTACAGTCAAGAATAAGATGTAAAACTTGGTATTTTGATGGCTCCTTCGTCCCATATTCAAGTAACCAGTACTGGCCAAACACTTACTTTTAGTGGCTTCCTACTTCACTATATACCGCAAGATTTCCATTTATTTTCAATCCTTATCATCCTGCATAATCTGAAGTCCACAACCAGGATCCCTACTTGTTCATGGCACAGACAATTTTTAAAATTTTAACAGTTCAGCAATAAATATCGCTGATGAAATATTCAATTCCTGCATAATTTCCTTAAGAACTGTGTGCATGTTATTTTTCACATGTGATACCCCAAATGGTGCCATCGTACTTATAGCTTACTGGTCGTGCAATGGTTGAGAATAGACAGCTGTTGATTTTTATGCCAGGAAGTTCTTTTTTCAACAGGTCCACACCATCTGTATTGAGAATTCCATATACTTCAAGTTTCTCCAAGGATTTCATCTGTGTACATAGGCTGGGGAAAATGACAGATAGTTTTTAAGGAAACTGATAGACTTATCACGATTCTGCAACTTTCTCTTCCGACACTAGTCATTAATAATTAGTGTTTCTTGTGGTTAGGTTAAGAAACATTCTAAGAATTTTTTGATTTAGCTTTATGAAGTTTCTAAGAACCGTTGAAACGTCTTAAAACCAAATAAGAAGATGGTGAGACCATTCCTAGCTAACTATGAGAGACACTATGACTGATATAGAATGATAGTTTTAAATGGATATATTAGCCAAATAATGGCTTGACTTTTGATAATTGTGTGAACCCTGAAATAGATTAAGTCACATACTGGAAAGCTTGTGGAAGAATGCTGTAGCATCTGCTTATTGCCAGCTGTTGAAGATCAAGGTTCTTTGCAATGGATGATAGAGATAATGCTGTTATTTGAATAGCATCACTGTTAAAGAATAAAGCAGACATTCATGTCATTATTATTATAAGTTATCATCATCAGTAGACAGTCATCATTATCACAATTATTACTCATTATCAACACTACCATCATCAATAGTCATCAGTGGTGATCATCAGTCATCATCATCACTCTCAGTCATTGTCGTCATCAGCACCATCATCATCTTCATTAGTCATCATCATCATCTTCATCAGCACCATCATCAAACATCAGTCATCATTATCATCATAGTCATCATCATTATCTTCATCAGCACCAGTATCAGTCATCATCATCAGCACCATCATCAATATCATCAAATTTATTTTACAAGGCATTAAAATGTATCATTAACCAACCTTAAATCCAGATGTGTTAGTTTAGGACAGTTTTGGACCAGCTGCAGCACAGCTGTGTAGAAATAAGTGAAATGTTGGTGCATAATAAGATAACAGACAAGTTCACAAAGGATTTTGAATGAAAATAGGTACTTGGCTTAAAGATAGGGAAAGCATCTTCTAGGTTGATGACTCAGCACAGAAGAGAACTAGCATTAGCAACTCTATTCCAACATGAAAATCAGTTTGGAAAAGCAAATGCCTTGTAAAAAATATTTTTTCAAATTATTAAATAATGCTTTATACCTTCATCTGTTAAGCATACTCTGCATCCACTTAGATTTAATTTGGTAAGGTTTGGTAGATTTTGCACAACCTAAGACAATTAAAAGTCAAAATAGTCTTTAGGAAGACAGAAAAAAAAGTATAAAAAAAACAAACTTGCACTCTTGGTAATAAGAAAAAAAAAGACTTTTCCATTAGAAATCTGTGCAACCTGCATTGAATAGAAAACGTGTGCACGTGCTGTGTGGAGTTATAAAGCACACAGGGGTTGGCAGAACATGAGAGAAGTGTTAGGAGAAGCAATGCGTAACAGAGTGCTTCTCAACACTTCTGGAGTGATCTGTCCATCCCCAAATGCTTTCTAACTCCACACAGCACAGCAAGCAAGTTTTTTATTTTTTATAAAATACAAATTACAAGAATAATGAAACTGAAATTACACAAGCATGCTGTGTGCTCTAGTAAAGCACATGCTCCCAACCAAAGATTTAGAACAGTAATTTTATAAATGTGAATAGACCATCAGAAAAAACTGTTTTATTTGTAAGTTACAAAGCTGGCTGCATGCATGCAAATGTCCTAGCTCACACACAGCCCAAACAATGTGTACCTGTTCTGTCTTACACATATGATTGTATTGAATGTATAGACTCAAATATTTTTCTATTTATATGATTTTTTCAGCCTATAGATTCACTACAATCATATATATAAGGCGGCAGAGGTATATTGTTTGGGCTGCCCTGCCTAGCTCAGCTACAATGGCTCTGTTTTTGACCAACCAGAGTGTGCCAAGCATGTCGGTAGAGGGGTAGGGCAATAGGGCCACCTCCATCCTTTCATTTTAGGATTCATTTTTAAATTTATCCTTTTTTCTTCCTTAAATTATTCCAAGAATGCAGGAAAAAGCATTTCTGGAAAACATGACAAAATTAATGTATGCTCTTGGCAGTATGCCCCCAGATCTCCTCTGCTTTTAATTTGCAAAATCAGTGGTAAAATTCACCTAACACCAAATTTTTCTCACCCCCTCCCCCCCTCAAATTACTGGATCTGCCCCTGCACAGTATTATCATTTATAAATTAAATATAATACTTGAAAAGTTAAAAAACCTGTAAAATGGATTCCTTGCCAAGGTTTGTCCAAGCTAAATTCAGTTCTGTTAATCTAATTAAACAACAACAACAACAACAAAAAAGAGCAACATTAGCATTTTGATTTTTTTGATGGAACAAGCATATCATGCATATATCAAGCGTGCATTTTGTGAACCTTGAAAATAATTGTCTGAAATGTCAATGGGTCTTTTTTCCAGGTTTTTAGTCAAATATGGTATCACTTCTAATAGGTGCCACCTTTTAACAGCAAGGTCTGAAAGTCCCATTGTGCTAACTTATATAAGTTAAATTTCCTAAGCCATGAAAGACATATGTTTAAGTTCTCATGCAGGGGTGAGTTGTTGACAATATTATGCCTTTACCGTTTACAGCCATTCACTAAAGCTTTCATTCCTTGTAAAGTAATTCCTGTGCACATTGCTAAATTCAGCTTTCTTAGATCTTGACATTGACCAATTGCCCTGAAGTTCAATGAACAGCATGAGAAATGGGTGAAAAGAAAACAATCTTGTAACATCATTTTGCTGTTATTAGGTATGTGTATGATGATGTAATTTATTTTGGGCAACATTTAAATATTGGCATTAACCAACAAAACTGAGTGACAAGACTGATTGTAAAAAACAGGGCAATTTTTCTTTATAACTCATTTTACGACCAGTAACTTAGTAAACTACCTGAGGATGCTTAGAGAAAGAGTACAAGAGTCCAAGCTTAGGCATATCAATCTTCTTGAATGCTGTTAAGAGATGTAAAATATATTTGTAATTATCAAATTATGGTTAATTAATGAATAAAAAACATAATAAAAATTTGTCACCAAGTCTGTAAACTGAATACAGAACATTTTGCATTTGACTTTATCCCATCAATTTTTGGTCAAACTCACTCCCTCTCAAAAATGTTAATAAAACCCAAAACTATATCCATAGATATTTGATTAGCAATATGCAATATTAGCATCAGATCTGTATGGGCTTGCCCTCAAAAATATCCTTGATCAACTACTCATATTGTATACACCTATTTCAAAACACGTTGTCAATTCCAAAGGCGATAGGAAATAGGTGAAAAGCAATAAGGAGATAGGGCATTGCAAGATCCAAGAATAGCTGGAATGACTTGTGTTTCAGTTTCTTTCTCATCAAGAACATTAACCTGGACCTTAATGTTGACTGATTCAGTGTTGTTTGTAGTTGACAGAATCATTTACATCTCAGAATGTCCTATCACCTATTGCCTATCACCTTAGCAATGACAACATTTTTTGAAATAGGTGTATATTAGTTAGAGATAAGTTCCTCCCTTTACACTGCAAGTATGTGTCATTACAGTAATGATAAAAGGGTAAATTTGACACCATGAAAAGATGAAAAAACTAATGAACTTTTCGGACACTAGTCCTTCATCAAAGTATGTGTCATTCTGAAAAGAGGTTTGACAACAAAACACTTTTGAAAATTTCCATTACCATTAATAGGCAAAGCAAACTGTTTTCCTCAAATGTGCACAATGTAGCATCAAGATAACAAAGCTTTAGAGGACAATCACTGGTCTGACAAACAGGAACTATGTCTGGAAAAATGTTGAGGTTGTCATCAAATATGGGAGAGCACACCTACAAAGAGAAGAAGAATGTTTTGTCATTTTAATATTGATTTTCTATTCCCTCAAGATTATTATTTTTTCATTTTCATTTTTTCTTAGTTGTTGGTAATTTTTGAAACATGTGTCAATGTCAATTTGTCGACCAGTTTGTTCAGTTGGTAAGAGGGTCTGTAAGTTATGCAGAAGTTTGTGGTTCAAGCCTCGGCCAGACCAACACTTAGGGTCTTTAAATAACTGAGAAGGTCTTGCCTTTGTAATTACATCTGCAAATGGTTAGACCTTTACATGGCTCAGATGATGACTACCTTAATGGTGGTCCTGTCCCTGATCAACTAGAGATGTTAATAGAGGACCACAAGTATACCAGTAGTTATTCTTTATAATCAAAGGTTATTTATATTTATGCAAAAAAATTCTCATAATCATTATCGAAAGACATGCAATTAAAGACAAACTATTCTCTAAAGCTTTATGCCTTAGTGTTTATTCTTACCATTGATGACGCTAGTCTTAATACTCTTACACCTCGTAACAAAACAGAACCAAGGATGCCTGGCTGTAGCTTAGTTTTTGCCATGTCTACACATCGCCATAGACTCTCATCATAACTGTTGCAAAAACAAATGACTCAATGACAGCCAATAATAAAAGTTTCAATTGAATGCAAAAATTAATAGTATTGAGAGGTTTTCACCCCTTTTCCCTGGAACATATCTTTGAGAGGCCTTTGAAGCCATTTTCAATTAAGATTTGATATAGGAAACAAAACAAAGATCTTGTTATGCACCTTAATGATAGCAGAATTATTAATGATGAACTGCTGAAGCAGACTCTGACATTTTAAATCTAGTAATTATACAGCTTCTCATTAATCCCATATAGGTAACTGTCCAATTATTTTCTTAATTGGACAGGTCTTGTTGATATGGGATTAATTAGGCAGCTATATAATTAATAGGTAATGGGATTTCATGCTCCCCAATCAAGAAATAACGACTCGAAAAATTCCTCTGACTGCCAAATTGGGCTCGGCCTACGGCCTCATCTAATTTTGGAAGTCCTCAGAATTTTCCTTGTCCAATTATTTCTTAATTGGACAGCATGGAGTCCTATTACATAATTATACTAAAGTGATTTGGACAAGATTTGAGAATCTGCTTGGACTACTGACTCCAACAGATCAGAAGGATGATGATTCAAAATCAGATAATGTGATTGCTGGACATGGTCCCCGAGGATAATAGAGGTCCAAGAGGGGGAAGTTGATAATGATGATGATTATTCATGCAGCTGGAATATACTTACGCAAATATCTGCCATTGTTTGCTTACTTGAGCACAAACAGACAGGGTGTGTCTTGGTAAAAATTTGAAAATTCCTAAAATCATTTCGTCTGATAAAATAGTAAAGGGATCTAAAAATAATAAAAAACAAATAAATCTAAGTAAACTGTATTAGATAAACAGATTTCCTAGTCTTTGGCTAAATGGAGTCTTTTGAAGCCATAACCTGCTACCTGTTTGCTCTTTTTGTAAAAAGCATCAATACTTTTGTCAAATGCGTTCTCAAGAACTCTATATTATTATTATTATTATTATTATTATTATTATTATTGCTGTTGTTGTTGTTATTAAGGAATAACATAGTATGCACCTTCATCTGGGGGCATCATGAGAGGGTAAATTTGGGTGTAAAAAAACTAGATATTGGCCAGAGATTAGAGGACTGTCCCCCAAAAAGTTTTATGAAATGTGTGGATATGGTGGGAAAATGGATCATTGACCCCCCTCCCCCTGGGGGTTAGTTACACACAAAAAACCGTGTCAAAATATACTTAATGTATCATACATATTTACCTAACTTTTCTGTGTTTTCTTTCCTCTTGGCATTAGAATGATTGACTTGCCTATGATGACCACAAATCCCACAAGATTTGGACTGTTTCTTCGCGAGGATTCTACTTTTTGTTGAATTATTTTTAGAAACTTGTTGACCAAGATTCTGATAAAGGAAGATTTGAGTGAAATGTTATTGATTTATAAACATAAATACATAAATAAAAGAATTTTAAAAAACTAGATCAATATTAATTTTTGAAAGTATTTAATATTTTTGATGTTCAATGTCAATGATTTGAAATATATTTATAAGGAAATTCCTCAATTGAAAATCGTTGTTTAGATTACGTAAAACTTAGCTTAAAAACCAAGGTGTTCAATGAGAAATTATTCATAGAATACCATTACAAAAGGAATAACATTATTCTGAGGATCGGGCTTACATTTGATGTAGTTTTGCCATTCAAGTCCTCCGCTTCCACGAGCTCTTGATCCTGACTCGAGTCCCTAACATCTTCATCGGGCCATCTCAACACAGAAACGTCCAAATCATTAAAAAATTCTTCTGTTTCTGACTCGTTCATGCCCCAGGTATATTTCGTGGCTCCAGATGGCAATGTATTTCTTCTTTTTCTGCTGTCCTTAAGAGCTTTTCTTGTCCTTTTATAGCGATCACTTGTTCTCGAATACTGTTTCTTGGGAGCCATTTTTATTTTTTTCCAAACAAATTTGGCGCCTTGTCTTTCACCAATCACAGACCGCCTACTCGGTAACGAGGCTAACTAGTACCAGCACCCCAGTCGCGCTCGCTTGAAACATTTTTCCGCCATTTTTTCGCACTTTCATGAATTAAAATAATAATTTCATAATAATTTATTAAATAATTACGAGGAATATTTTTTTTTAATGTCATTGTTTTTCTAAGTTATCGTGTTTCTGCGTAAATTTCTTTCATTCAAACTCGGGATAGTCTCCCTCGCATCCGTTTTTAGTGTAAAAAAAAAAAATGGATGCGAGGGAGATTAAACTCGGGGTTGTAATGAGCAGAAATGGGGTGGGGTAGTCCTAAATTTCATATCGCAAAATCCCGCCCAAATATGAATTTTAAATATCATTTTTGATTATACCATTTCTTCTAAACCATTCCTATACATGCCAGTACCGATGCATTAGAGCAGATTTTTTTAGCGCAAACATATAATAAGTCCTACTTCTCTTGTTTATTTCTTTAAGACCGCCCTTCGCAAGAATATCCCTTCAATTTTTACCAATGGTGCTAAAATACTTGTTCGACAGATCAAAAGTACCGAGCAGAGAGAATTAATTAAAAAGCAAACTTAATATTTTCAGTTTCTTTTATTTAATTATCAGAATTCAAATACTACTGTAAAATTTGCTGCAAGTTCCATTTGATTGGTTTATAAGTAATTATGTGTCTGGCTTTGTAGCTCTAACATGTGACCGCTATATACACGTTGACAGTAAACTAAGCCAGCGGTTTTCCTGGGCCAAATAGGTGTTAGGATCATTGTCCCAGCTTCATAACGCCCACTCGAAAGTGTTTTTGTTTAAGAGCGCAGTGAAAATTCTCGAGTCGAACCGAAACACAACGCGTTATACGTAGTAGGGGCCCGGCGTGTAGCTGCGATACTGCATAAAAGTCTACAGGATTTCTTCCAAGGCGGGACTAAAATCCGAAAAATGATGACCGGACGTGCTCTTTTGTATCTTAACTCAGTTTGCAAGCATTCTTACTTTTTTCTTTCAGCTGAAGAGAAAAGGAAAAGAGAAAAATAATGAGAAAAATGAAGAAGAATACTGTAATAAGGCATCCCGTCTTTCCAGCCAAAATGTAAACATTACGATCGTTTGGTTTTTGAGGAGTTGCGATTAGAAAATAAGGAATTGGTTAGACAGCGCAACGATGTACCTAGCAGTACGGGGATAGTGTTCTCTCATTTGTGTGCCCGTCGCTCGTGGTTATTTCGTCAAATGTGAGACCCGTGGTTCTCTCGTCAAATGTGAGACTGGGCTAAACCAAACATCGAGACTTGTTACTTACCTTGGGATCTGTTATATGTGTAGCTTCTGTTGTATCTGAAGTTGTCGAACACGTCATTCAATTCCATACCAATACCCTGTCAAAACATAAGATTTGCATAAACATGTTTGTAACGAAGCTAGACAACAATGCACCATATTCGCTATCTTAAAGTAGGTCTAATGGCGTCCCTTTCCCAATTTTCCCCTTCCCTAATTTTTTTCCCACAAGGGAGAAGTAGGCAGCAAAATATAGGAATTAATCGAGAGTCATGACCTGTCCCATTCCCAATGCTTCCCAGGGGAGAGAGGGGAGCGTGTTTACCTTGTACTGGTTGTGGCGGTGTCGTGCCTCGGCCGCTTTAATAGGATCCTGAATTCCTTTTTCGTCTTTTCCAAGGCCAGCTCCTTCCCAACCTAAATAGAAAAGTAAAATATGTTAAAGATATACTTGATAATGAGATAGGAATGAATGGGAAATTTTAAATTAAAGAAATCAAGTGTAAAATTCCGAGGAAATGAAAAGAAAAAAAGAGAAATGACATTAGGAAAGGGAATCTGTGAACTGAACGACTATTTGGGTTCAATCAGAAGTTCATAGTTATGAACTTCTGGTTCAATAGAATAATTGCACAAGAATGGGATTTAAATGGGATAGTATGTTTTGAGTCGAAAGTAGAAAATTTAGAGAAATGGGATTTGGAATAGCAAAGAAGAAAAGAAATGGGATAGGATTAGGATCTGATTCTGAAACTAAACCTACTTTGTATCTTCTGATCAAGGAAATGCTAGGGAAAGCAAGTAAGACGGATGTGTATTTACCCATTTTCTTTAGCAACTGATGACCAACATTACTCTCATCTAGTCTTGATTCTGGATTACTAGTCATAAAAGCACTGAAAAAAAAATTTTTTTCCGTTAGATGATTGGGTGGGTTTCCTGTGTTAAATAGGGGGGGGGGGTGGGTAAAGTATGATAAAGACTTCGGTTCATTGCATCTTTGCTTTTACTTTTTCTAATCTTTTCTCTCCATTTTTCCTTCCTTTCTTGCCTTCATCCTCATTCGTTTCTCGTTTCTCTCATCCTTTCTTTCTTTCCTTCCTCATTTCTTTCATTTCTACTCATCCTTTTACTTTCAACTCACCCAAAACTAGGTGGAGTAATGCTTCTTCGTCTCAGTGGCGAGACACTTCTTCGTCTGTGGCGCGGTGATCGTGAACGTGATCGTGACCGTGATCGAGATTTACTTCGTGAACGATGCCTGTAAAACAAGAAATACTCATTTGGAAAATCAATTTAAAAAGACCTTTTCAAACAGACTCGTTGAAATAAAAAAACTAAAAATTAAAAAAAAGTTGTTAAAAACGCCCGGGAATGACATAAACGAACCAGAATTTTTAAAAACGATTTTTCCAGTTTATAATAAGAGCAATTTTTTCTTCTCAAAAATATATCATTATTTAACACTCCACCCCAGAAAAAATTCATTATCTAACACTCCCCACCCAAAAAGACATTATTTAACATTCCCTTCATCTTAGTGAAGCCTACCCATCCCTAACGTTGAGCGACTTCAGGAATGTCTGTCTATCCCAACCAGCTTCCCAATCCCAACAGGATTCTCACGGAAGCACTCTAGCCTAACCCTGTACCTTCTCCTTGGTGGAGTCCTTGAGCGACTTCGTGAATATCTTCTGGGCGATCTTGACCGACTTCTCGATGATCTCCTGTACGAAGGTGACCTTGACCTACTCCGTGATGTTCTTCTATAAGGAGGTGAAACAGAGCGAGATCTTCCTCTGGGTGGTGAGCGAGATCGGCGACGTCCTTCTGGTGATCTGGCAGGGGATATTGATTTGGACCTGAGGGTTAAGGAACTATAATTAGGGATACGGAAACAGTTTTTCCTGGTCACTTTTTAATGCTTTTCAAAATCTAGAGCAACCTTGATAATGGCAAGATATCACAACGAATGCGACAAAATACAACAAATATGGCGTCCTATTTGAAATTGCTATTGTTCTGGACTGATGAGTCTAATGTTTAAGTATAGTACGTACATGGTACACCATACAGTAGCATCGAAATGGCTTCCCGTTTTACAACAGACACATCTTTGGGGTAGCTTTCCATTATTTCATCCAGTCATAATGGGTTGTTCCTATGCTACAGATTTGCTGTATTGTTTCGCACATTTACGAAAACTACACTATCATATACATATTCATACAACGAATCGAAATATGGTGAACAAGTTAAATAACTATTGTTCTGCACTGACTAGCGACTGACTAGCCTCGTGTCCTCTTGGAAACATAAAAGCACTTACATGTATGAGAGGATATTCCGTCCAGAACAATAGTTATTCAAATTGGTCGCCATATTTTGATTCGGTGTATAGGTGAACGATTTAGTAAGACCAAAATGGCAAATGACACGCCAGACAATTGACTAGTCTAAAATGATTTTCTAAACATGATTTCATTACCTTGAACGGCCTCTTTCAGTGGGTCTTTCTACTTTTTCTCTGGCTTCTCTTTCTTTATCTCTTACTTCTCTTTCTTTAATGAAGGGTAACTTTGCCTTGTAAAACTCAAAGAGACCGCTTTGCTCCCATCCATCACTGTAACAAACATAGGTACTTGGTGAATATCAATCAAAATAAATACAGCCAGGTACCAAATACACCGCTTTAGCTTGAGCCATTTGACCATGTTTCATTCCCTTGAGAATCAGTTCTTTGCTTGGATGCAAATGAAACAGAGAATCCTCTTCTCAAAGGAATGACACATGGTCTGAAATGGGCAAAACAAATGCACAAGCTAAAAAGGTATATTGTACAACATTGTAGTTAATTTTTTTTCTTTTCTCCTTCCTCCTTTTGTAATAATTGTTATTGTATTTTCTATATATATATATTCTTTTTTTCTAAAATACGAATATTCTTGTAAATTTTCTTCTAAACCACTGTTCTGCTTCGATTAGTCTTAACTATTTGTAGGGCAGTGGTGATTTACTTCTTATTTGACTGTAATACATTCTTTTGTAATAAACTTATAAAGAAAGTATAAGAATTTAAGTATATTCTCAACCAAGCAGTGTGATGCAAATGCAGTAACTGTAGCTTCTACACAATTTGAATGTCTAACCTGTTTCTTGGCCTTTCATGACTGGGTGGGCTATAGAATGCCTCAACAGCTGCCAGCAGGCGCTCACTTGGTGGCTGAGGAGCTGGGAGTCGGATGTCATGAGGGTCTAATGGTTTATAATCTACATCTGTTAACTAGAAGAATATTAACATTGTAAAAAAATGTATAAAAATATGAAACAATTTCTGAAATAACATGGTATTCTTGATGTTGGTACAAGATAACTATGACGATCAGCATGAATTCTAAATATCGATGATGGATTACCTTAACCATGGGTGCCATTAACCCTGCCGGCAACTCATAATACATAGCATTAGGTATAATAGGTCTTGGCGGAGGTGGTACATGTGGTGGCATACCCCTATCAAACCCTTCAGGAGGTCCATAGTTGTCTATCTCCTCGTGTCTGTCATACTCTGATGGTGGCATATCGTCATATTCATCCCTGGGGGGAGGATAATCATAGGAATGGGGTGGAGGACCTGGACCAAATGGGGGTCTTCCTGGAAAACCTGTTAAAAAAAGTCCAGTTTAGATTTTATAATTTTATGATCAGATCTCTTGTCATTGTGTGACTTGTGCTTCTGCTTCTGCTTCTTTTGCTCTTGCTACTTTAGAATTTGTACATTTCATTTTTCTAACACTTCCATCCCCTCCCCTCCTGACAGACTACATGTACCAAAAAAATTTTTAATTTTATTGAAACCCTGAAACAACCTCTGGGTTGATCTAAATCAGGGCATGGCTAGTCCACACATAGAGACCATGAAACAACCTCTGGGCTGATCTAAGTCAGGTTATGGTTAACCCACATATTGGGACCCTGAAACAACCTCTTGGTTGATCTACTGTAAGTCAGGGCATGGCTAGCTCACAGATAAGCCCTCAACCAAGGGAGAGCCCTAAAAAATTCTACTCACATGTGATGCCAAGTCCAAGAATTGAGCCTGATACCCGCACCAAGAGGTAAAAGGCAGGTGCCCTACTGTTGTACCACCCTTGATTCCCTAAATCAAACCATCTTTAATGGACTTACCAGGATCATGAAAGTTCTGTGGTTCATTAAAATGAGGTGGCAGTCGGTTGAAGCTAGGGGGTGGAATAGGAAATGGTGGAAACGGTGCTCTGTAATCAGGAGGAAACTGAGGTGGAGGTCCTTGATTTGGATAGAATGGGGGGAAGGGTGGAGGTTGGTTGTAAGGTGCTGGTTGGAACTGCTGTCCATCCTGGAGGCCTCTTTCCTGTTGAAGATATTAAGTAATTATTAGGTGTTTTTGTGCTTAGTAAATTATTAGATATGTAAATTATGTCTCAGCAAGCTAATTTTTCTAGGAAAAAAATTTGAATCCTTGCTAGAGCTCAGATTCCTCACCACCCCCTCCCCCCCCGAGATAAATTAGCATTACATTACATTTCATTTAAGCAATTGTTACTGCTTGTGAAAAAGAACAGAAACTATACTCAAGGAAATGATTAATATTAAAATATTGTGGTGTAGCAGTGAGAGTGCTCACTTCTCACAAATGAGACCTGAGTGTGAGTCCTGCTGGGCTCAGTTTCGTATGTGAGTAGAGTTTGTTCTCTCCTGTGCTTTAAGCGTTTTTCTCCAGGTTCTCTGGTTTTCCTCTCTTCACAAAAATCATCTTCAACCAATTGCAATTTTAGTGGACAAGGATTCACCCTGTGGAAATGTCACTGCTAAAACCTTTTTCCAAACTAAATTCATTTTATACATATAATTTTTGTTCTTTCTTTTTCCAAATCGTGTAAATGGCCAGCCTGTCACTCACCTTCGACGGTTGTTGTTTGTCTGTATTGTTGTGATCTTGGTTAAAAGCTTCTTTGCTTGCATTATCTTCCAACATTTCCTCCTCTTTTTCATTGGTTGCTTCATTAGATTCTTCTGACGATTTTTGAGGTGCCTGGTTTTCTACAAATTAATATCAAAACCAAAAGTATTTTCTTAAAACTGTAGAAATATTGAAATAATTGCACTAAGAGCAGAAGCATAAGAATCAAAATGTTCTGTTCTTCTTATGCTTATGTCACTGAATTTCCCAGTACTTAAGGACTTACACTCTTGTGCTTATGCTAGTGCTTATGTGCTAATAAGGACCAGGCTTTAAAGTGCGTTTTTTTGTAGTAATTTCTATCTCTATTAAGTGTCCAAGCCCCCCCCCCCCCCCAGGAATTTGTATCTCTATTAAGTCTCCAACATGTATTAGGTGGCCAAGTCCCAATCCCCCCCCCTCAACAATTTGTATCTCTATTAAGTGGCCAACCTCTATTGAGTGGCCTTTCTAACAGTTCCCTGACATTGGCCACTTAAATAGAGGTTCTGCTGTACAAAGACTAATCAATCAAATTCAATCTGACATAACAACAAACCTGGAGAGTCCTTTGATTCTTGCTGTCCTCGTGTCTCAGCTGTGCTTGACGGCTGACCATATGCTGCGGTATTTGATGAGAACTGTGCATATTGCTGATAGTACTGCTGGTATTGGTATGGATTGGTTTGGTATTCGCCTGGTGGAGCTTGCCGTGTTGGTTGTTGTGGATAACCAAAGGTAGCAGCTGGTGGGGCATGGAACTTTTGAAGTGCTGCTTGTAGAATTGGTTCAGATGATTCTGGGTTTTTAAGTTTCTTAAAACGAAAAAAAGAGAACTTCTTTAGTGAAATACTAGGTACCTAAAAGAACTATGATGGGGAGTGAGTATGAAAGGGAAGATGAAGCAAGCAAGTTTTCAAAATGGTTTTCTGTGGACACTCTGAGAACGTGGAGCACTTCTAAAAGCGTGAGGTTGGGGGGGGGGGGGGGGACGGCTAATTTTTAAAACCACTTCAGCTTTATCAAACCTAAATAAGGCTATATCACAGATCCAATTAGAATCTGACAACTTGGGTTATGGAAACTCTACCTACAAGGAATGCCAATTCCAGGAATCGAATCCAAGACCCCCAAGGTGATGGCGCATGCATTACTCCTACACCCACCCTTGATTCTTTGATTGTCAGTAGCCAAATATGCAGACTTCTGGAAGTGCCTTGGTTGTGTACTCAAAGCACAACATAGAAATGTCTAAAACTCACTCACCTGCATCACTGAAGAGTCCAAGAATTTATTTGTTTCCCATATACCAAGCACCTTGTTCAGTTTTTTCAACCCATCACCAGCTTCTCCCTTCATTGCATTTAAAAATATTGGCACAACGACTTCTTGTACAGCCTTGTGCAAATCTTGGACCGATTTTCTTGCAATGTGATGGAGAACATCATTGATGATGTACACAATGTGAAGCTTCTGAGAGAACTCTAAGTCAGGTTCCAAAGATCTATTAGAAAGTAAGAACTCATGAGGCTTATATATAACTAAAAATAAGCAAGAAATGGACAATTAAGAATCAAAGTTTTTCATTGACATTGTATAAGTTATGTTATGTGTGAAACTGCTAAGTTGCAAACAGTTGGGATATATCTTTGTCTTCATTTAGAGAATACAATAGAGGACACAATGTACACAATTCAATAGAAACCTATTGTATTCTTTGTAAGCTTTGTTCTATTGTATGACTTGGAGTAAGTTGTATAACGAGGCTCGTAAGTTGCTAATTGGTACAGATCAGTATTTCGATTCGTTGTATACAGCAAGAACCAACAGTTGATTATCCCAAGCACTGTGGTCAAATTCATGAAAAAATTATAAATTATTGTAGTGATCGACAAACCTCTTTAGAATGTACTCCATAATGTACTGGCAATGTTGAGATGATTTTGCATTACTGAAGACCCAACCTCTGCCACTCTGAACAAAAATGAATAATTCATTCATTCATTAGCAAAAACCATATCAACCTATCATGTATTTTCTTTGTGTATCTAAATGTCTATCAAAGTCTATCAATGTGACTGGTCAAGATGACTTGTCTAAATGCTGCTACTGACTTTCTTTTCCATAAAGAGTGACACGTACGGAAATTAGGACAAAAAAAAAAAAAAGAAGAAGAAGAAAAGAAAAAACAAAAACAAAACAATTCAAGACAAAAATGAAAAAAAAAGGAATATTTTCTTAATAACTCCTTTACTTTAAATTTAAATATAATAATATGTGAGCAACCACGGTAAATGGCACATGCTATAGTGGTTTCCCAGCCATTATGTATGTATATATTATATATAACATGTTTGTGTGTTTGTGTATGCGTGGGTGTTTAAATGGCAAAGCTAAATGAATAAATAAATAAATGTCAACTTTGGCTGGACATTGTCCATTAATCTACCGCTATTCTCTGAACCCTGCTAGTCACTTTAGGTTACAAAGATATTAAAGATCAGGCATAAATCATTGATAAAGAACTGATTCAAACTCACAGAGATGGCATCCTTAGATCCAGTATCCATGAGTTTCTGGAGCATCCCATCAAATTCGTTAAGATCCAAGTCACTTGGAGGCTGAGGTGCTTGTTGGTACACTGATTGGGTCAATGGTGGTGCAGTATAAGAGGGTGGGGGGATGGCTGGCATTTGAGGTAAAGTTGGTTGTTGTTGTGCTTGTTGCCATGGTGCTGACTTGATTGACTGTTGGACAATAGCTTGCTGGACGATAGCTGATTGGGAGGAGGTAAACTGTGGGGTTTGTTGCTTCTGGGAATGCTGGTATTGTTGGGTTTGACTTTTAGCTGTAATAACACATTGAAAGATCAGAATAGATATATGTTTCAGAACAACCATCCGGTTAGCTCAGTTAGTAAGAGCGTCGGTCTGTTGTGTGGGAGGTCGTGGTTCAAGCCTCAACCAGACCATCACTCAGGGTCTTAAAATAACTGAGGAGAAGGTGCTGCCTTTGTAATTACATCTGAAAACGGTTAAACTTTCAAGTCTTCTCAGAGAAGGACTTGTATCCCAACCCTTCCTAACCTACAGTAAATGGGGGACATAAAAGAACCTGTTGAATTATTCATGTAAAAGTAGGGGATTGTCTCCCGGTTCAACAGCCTATCCCAATCTGGAGGCATAACACTAATGTACTAACAAATCACTCATGACTGTAAGCTGCATGCATGCTAAAAGCGCCTTAATAAGGTAGATTAGATAATTGCTCTCAACTACACAGAGTTGACCACATTTTTCTTTGATCTTTAAAATAATGATCTCAGAATGTTTTCTAATGCCAAAGTAAGCTACTTAGCTATATATAGTGGATCTGCTTACCTATTTCCATGGACACTTTCCATCGATAGTAGTTATAATAAGTGTGTCCACTATAAAGGAAGCCAAATTTGCTGTTGTCTTTCTGCTTCTGCTTTGTCATTTCTTCAAACTTGCTTCCATTTCGAGCCACAAAGTTGGCTAACTTGTCAATAATGTTTTTGAGCTCTTGATCTGCAAACATTACAATAGTTAAAATCAATTTACTCACTTTTACGCAAAAAGATTGCCAAAAAGCGTTGTGGATATTTAAATTAGTGTTTGTAGTATCAAATATATATCATTTCAACAAGATTTACTCACCGTCAGGCGCAGGAAAAGGAGGCTTATTCACGTCTTCCATGTCTAAAGCCACCGACTGAAGAAGATTCTTTGTCAAAGTTTGTAACACAAAATATCACGATAAACGACTTCCACACGTCGTCAACTCTTCATAAAAAGTACCATCTACATGTCTTGAACAAGATTCTTCAGCTCAGTATGATCAAAAGAGCAATAAAGATTGAATTTATACAGAGTTTTGTCAAACTCTCTTCCACATGGATAATAGTCAGGATTTTCAAAATGGCTGCCGTTCGCGTATGTCTTGGAGCCTGGGTACCAGTTGATCGCTAAAGACTGGAAACTAATGAGGAATTTATTATCGAAAGACTTTTTTGTCGTCCAAAAAAATACAGCAAAATGGCTTTAAATGGATTCTATTATAGCAGGATACGTCCGATCTCTATCGCAAGGGCAGTTCCCTTATTACTCTCTCAAAACAAGAGTACAAAAGCAGCTGTGGAGCTCCGTATCCTTTTTGATGACGATCTAAAGACACGCATCTTGAAATCTGACCTGTTATGCAAGAACCATGCATGGATACAAATGTTTGGCTTTCGCCGATAAATTGAATATTTAGTCGTTAAAAAAGAAAGAAATACTCCGATAGATTAACGAGGACATGATACTTATAGTACAAATAATCAGTTGATTGAAATGTTTTTGTTTTTTTCGACATTCATGAAACTCAGCTGTTTATCGTGACTGAAACTTGTACATGTAAGCTTACATTTTTTGTATAAGCGTAAAAATGGAATTTTACTATTTTTTTATTGAATTTTAATAGAGTTGAGCCAATTTATCCAGATAGGTAATTTTTGATGTTACGTAGTTTTTCTCATTCCTTGACAACATCACTCAGCTCCCATGCATCAAAACAGAAAAAAGTTTGGTGAGTGAGCTCATATACTAGTAATTATGATGATTGGATTTTAACGACTATTATAGTCTAGCTAGACAAGATTTTAAGCATTTGGTTTAAATTAGTTTTTCATTTTCTTCTGCCAAAACAGCTAAGTTCGACTACCAAGATCCCTTAAACCTTGATTGTAGACTGACAGATGAAGAGAAGATAGTCAGGTAACCGTCCTATTACATACAACTACAGGTATTGTGCAACGCTTTTAACATACTCTGGTACAACCACAGGGCTCAATAAAATCATTTTTCTGGTATAATTTCTGGTTTTCCAGGTTCGTTGTTGTATAGCCAAGAAACAGCTTGAAACGGATTTTTCTCTAATATTATAGATACAAAAAGAAATAATTTTGTATATATAAAAAGAGTATTCAGCCATGGACAGTAGTACACTTTTCACAGGTGTTTATTTGTCCTCATACCTATATATTTTGTCATATGTTTTGCAATTTATTTTTCTCCAGGGACCAATTTAAAAGCTATTGCCAAGAAAGACTGATGCCAAATGTATTAATGGCAAACAGACTAGAACGTAAGCTGTTGATTTGACGCATCAAAATTCAATATTTYTTGCTATATAATTTTTTCGCACATTGAGCAGCTGATCAGTAGAAAAACTRAATTGTTTAATTATTAATTTAGCTAACAGTATTCTAGCTTCTTTTTGTAAATTTATTTTTCTTCTTTCTATCTTTTCTAGATTTTAACAGAGATATCATGTCAGAAATGGGAGAAATTGGAGTACTTGGAGCAGATATTGAAGGTATTCACTTTTCTTTGTACAATAGATGTGACAAATTAAGGATAATAACTTAAATTATAAATTATATGTATCCTCATCACATTTGAGAAGATTCTAATGATAGGTTCTCTTGCTTTGAGGGTTTTTTCTTCATTTTCTCCAGTTTTCCTCAGATCAGGCAAGAGGTTGTTCCAGGGTTTGAGAAAATTTGAGGGTTGAATGTGTAGTTATATTAGAATTTCCGACAGGAAGCATGAGTGAAAGAATAATAATTAAGTAGTTTATTAATTGTTATTATCATCATGATGTATCATCATTATCATCATCATCATGTATCATCATTTTGTATCATCATTATCACCATCATCATGTATCATCAATATGTATCATCAACATCATCATCATCATCATTATTGTTATTATTAATTTGATTGTAATCTCGTTGTCAAGGTTATGGTTGCGCTGGTGTGTCTTCAGTTGCATATGGTCTAATTGCAAGAGAGGTTGAAAGGTATTGTAGTAATACAATATCAGTGAGTTCCTATCTCAAATCAAATTCTTATTGATTTCCACATTTTAAAAATAAATAAATTSTTCTTCTGGTTTAAGGGTTGACAGTGGATATCGTTCAGCTATGAGTGTACAGTCATCACTAGTAATGCATCCTATTTACAGTTACGGAACAGAAGAGCAAAGACAGAAATTCCTTCCAAGACTTGGTGGGTAACTGCTGTTTCTAGAACTAGTGATTGGGATCCCTGTGGAAATTACACACAGGAAGCCCATCAATATTGATAAYTTTATTTTGCTTTCAGCTCGTGGGGAAATAGTTGGAGCTTTTGGTTTGACTGAACCCAACCATGGCAGTGACCCAGGGAGCATGGAAACGAAAGCCAAATATAACCCTACAGGCAATACTTACACACTTAACGGCACCAAGACATGGTCAGTATTGAATGAGTATACATACATGAAAAAAACATATATACTACTATATATGTTATCATCAATTTCTTTTATATTAGTACCTTATACTATTTATGAAAACTTGGTTTGCAGGATCTCAAATTCTCCTATAGCTGATGTTTTTGTTGTCTGGGCAAAATGTGAAGATCAGAAGATCAGAGGGTTCATCCTTGAGAAGGTTTGTTTATGAAAGAACATGAATTTCACACTTGCTTGGACTACCTGTGGATTTCAAAACACAGGAAGCCCAATTGACACTGAATATTACTCATCCTGTTTATTTCCCCACAGGGTATGAAAGGACTTTCTGCTCCAAAAATTGAAGGCAAATTTTCATTACGYGCATCAGTCACTGGACAAATTGTGATGGAAGAGGTGGAAGTTCCTGCTGACAATTTGTTGCCAAATGTGGAAGGGTTGAAGGTTAGTAAACAACACAAAAGGGACAAAAATGATAATCCAAGATTAACGGATTGACATCAGATTTTTATGTGTCTCTTCTCTTATTGATGACAAATTGCGTCATCACATTGTCAAATTAGTGTGGATCCGCCTACTACCTTGACAAGTGATGGTAATAAAGATCTGAAGTCAATTTGTTTTTTACAATAATGAAAACAATAAAAACTTCTTATTCTTACTGAGCAAAACAACTAACGGAAAGAGCTTTATCTGTCTGTCTTCTTATTGATGATAAAAAATGACCAATCAGCGTGCGAGAAATTTGTAAGTTATTGTAAAATTGTTTATTTAGACTAGAAATAAAAGGTACCATAGCAGTAATGCTAATTATTGCCTTTCACCTCAACTGGGGTACTGGGGTACTGGGGTATTTTGTTATCCTGCCTCCACGAAACCCAACTTACTAAATTTCAATATCAGCCTGATAGTGAACCCTGACTTGATTTGGTCATTTCAGTGCAAGGGCAGATCCAGGGGTATTGGGTGGTTAGCCAACCCCCTTTGGAGATGAAAAACAATTAGAATAAACAATAAAGTAGAACCCTGAAGAGGATGCTATGACATATCTGTGTAACAGCCACCCCCTTGAAATCATAATCTGGATCCACCACTCTAGGATTTGATAAGAAGATGTTGTTAGAGTGATCACAGTAAATCCGTGAAACACTAATTACTAAATAGTACAAAATAGTGCTAGTTAAACAATAGAAAACAATGGAATTTGCATGAAATTGTACTATTTAGTATTACTAAAGTTTCACGGATTTACTGTGGTCACTCTATGGAATGACTGAACAATATATATTTTTCAACACATAGGGTCCATTTGGKTGTCTGAACAGTGCCCGGTATGGTATAGGATGGGGTGTTCTTGGAGCTGCAGAATTCTGCTATGAAACAGCAAGACARTATGTTTTAGACAGGTARTATTGRTTGATATTTTWCTWTYACYYCTCGCATATCCATATTTTTCCATAKTTAGATTCAGTTTACTGTTARAAAATTTTGAACATTTGTTAATTTGAACATTAAGAATATTATATAAGTTATATAAGCAATTAATTTATTGGAATTATCAGAGATCTAGTAATTAATGTAAATTACATCATGACCAATAAATTATTTATTGCTTATTTCAGAAAACAGTTTGGTCGTCCTCTTGCATCTAATCAGCTGATACAAAAGAAGCTCGCAGACATGGCAACCGAGGTAATGTTGATGGTTATGTCTGTCTGTAACTAATTTCTTTTTGTTGTTAAACTGACCATTACGACTAAAAGAGAACAAGGCATACTGCATTGATAGTCATTAAGATGACTAGCGTACTTGGATTGTGCATCTTGCTAATGCTACTTCTGGTAATGTATTTTTATTTGCTCACTCAGATATCACTTGGACTGCATGCSTGTCTTCAAGTTGGCCGGCTCAAAGATGAAGGAAAGTAAGTACTTCTATAAATCTAGATAGGCTTCTTTCCCCCTCCCCTTACACAATTATTATTCTAATACTCACCCATCTGCACCTTAGCCTTCCTCTTGAGCTYCATTCCTAGTTGGGATGAAATAGCATCAACACTACTATCTTCTTTAGCCAGACKATCCAATAGGCCTTTCTCAATGGCAGCCATGTTGACTAGAACAATAGATTTCCCCCATATAGCCTCACTTTCAAGCACTAGTTTAGAATGAGGTTATGAAGGGTGCAATGGTTTTATATTCTCTTAGGAATAAACAAGGTCAATGATGATCAGCTTTCAGTTTTCTTCTCGTTTTTATAAAGAAGAAAATTATTTGTTGTTATTCGAAAGCCTCTTTATTTTGATTTTTGTTTTCATATTTAACTTTATTAAACTATTTAACTATTGCAGGCATTGTCCAGAAATGGTGTCTTTAATCAAGCGCAACAATTGCGGCAAAGCAATAGACATTGCTAGGGCATCAAGAGACATGTTAGGAGGTGAGCTGCTCAGTATTAATTTTTTATGAAAAGTGAGGATGATAAATACATTGGAATATCAATTCATTGCATGCTGTGAATCAAAAGTCTGAGGGATGTTTTTGATCGATGGCTAGAAAACACTGACATTGCAATGTGTAATTCTGTCCTTTTTAATTTTATCCAGGTAATGGGGTGTCAGATGAGTATCAYGTTATTCGTCATGTCATGAACCTAGAGTCTGTCAACACTTATGAAGGTAAGTCCTTTAAAAATGAAGTTTGAAAGTTAAAACCGTTATGATCAACCTTTATTGCTACTAATTGTGTTTGGGCTGCATATGTAAATGTAGTCCCTCAACTACATTCACTGCAGGAAAAATAGCTTGATGAAAAACGAATAGAATTTAAAACCATAGTAAAATATTAATAGATAATGTCAAAACTAAAGAAATATTCATTGTGTAATTGCAGCTATTTTGTACAAAATTGTTTGGTTCATATCTGAAAGAATTCTTAATTCTTAGGCAATAAGTAAATAATTTTTAAGCTCTATATATAGCTAATAATAATAATTGTTCAGATATATAGCGTGTACTTTATTATTTTGCATGTTCATAGTCTTTTTGAAAAACAATTTGTTGAATGCAATTTTTTGTTCACTRTAGGCACTCATGACATTCATGCATTAATACTTGGACGAGCTATAACAGGAATACCTGCATTCTAGAGGCCTCTGCAGACACTCGTAAGATGTTGAATCAACATATTATTTCCCATCTCACTTCAAGTCTCCTTTTGTCATTCTTTTATGTGTTAACGTCATATTAACTTCGATTCCAAGATAAGGGATTTCAGCTGGATGAAGCATGGACTGTTTGAAAGAGTGGAAAATGGGATGCACTTATCTTCTTTGATGGAATAATGGGTGTGAACTTGGTTCAGGGAATACACTGCCAAAATTCAATCAAATAACTTTGATTGTTGGCAGTGTATTGCTGGATTTCCTTATCATGACTGTTGTCTCAGTCAGCGCCTAGCAACTTAAATGGTGGTAAGGCAAAGGGAATGAAAAATGGAATGATTACGTGATTTCCCACTAATTCATTTCTTACCGAGACTGGGATCATGCCAAAAGTTAGCCCTTCACACATTTGATCATTTTGAACATTTGATAGCTGACTGCTCTGGATTGACACATTATATTTGAGAACTGACGGTTTGACTTAATGGAAAGCACCCTTATAGTTTGTGAAAAAGTACTAAAACGTAGAATTAAGACTCAAAGCACTTACAGGGTTCCCACTCATATCAAAAATTAAAATTCCCTGACTTTTCACTGACTTTTCCCTGACCAAAAGTAATTTTTCCATGACCAAGTGGCAAACTTCTATTTAGTACTTTTAATTAATAATTAATTAATCCATGTGAGGTAAAAAACTTTTAAAATTACAAACA